GGGGGGGGGGGGGGACAAGGAGGCAGACATAGCTATGCCCCCCCTCCTCCTCCGGAGGGCGGAGCCTGCCCGGCTCGCTCTACACATGCTCGGGAGCCGCCCCTCCCGGCCGACTGGGGGCGCTGCGCGCTTTTCCTGCCGTCGCTCTGGCCGCTCGGCCTCGCGGCGCCGCCCGCCGGCAGGAAGAGCAGGCCGCGTCGAGGCCGCCGCAGGTCGGGCAGGGCGCGGAGTGGCGGGCGAGGGTCCCGCGGCCGGAGGGGCGGGCTGAGCCCCGGACACCGCGTCGGGCTCTCCCGGAGGGGCCGCGGCGTTGCCCCTCGGCCCGGGCGATGGCGTCGGAAGAGGCGGCCATGGCCGAGGCGAAGCCCCCCGCCGATGCGGCCCCCCCCGGCGCCGCCGCCCCCAGGTAGGCCGCTCGAGGCCAGGGCGGAGGGGCCCTGCGGGGAGGGTCGCCGGGGCCCTTCGCGCCCCTCCGGCGCCAGGCGGAGCGCCAGGCGGTGGAAACCGCTTTTGCGGGCTCCGAGCTGCCTGCTGCTGGGTCTCTGCGGAGGCCGAAGCGTCGCCTTTCCGGGAGACGCCGGGGCTTCAGCGGCGGCCCTGCGGAGCCTCCCCCGAGCCCAAGCGGGGCGTTTGGAAGCGGCGCCGAGAGCCCGCCTGCCCCCTGGCTGGGTCTCCGGTTGCAGGAAGGCCAGTCCGGGGCGTTGGGCCTCCTCCCGGGCACCGGCGAGGCCTTTCCCGGGAAGGGGCGCCGGGAGGGTTTGGGATGCCTTCGCAGAAAGTGGACCGACCCTCCCTCTCTCTCCCTGTCCGCAAAAGCAGCTGCCTCCCCCTGGACGCCGCCCAGCCCAGCCGGCCAAGGGAGTGCCTGGAAGGTGGACTGGGGAGGAATCCCAAAGACCCGGACTCCCCCTCCTCCCCCTCCTCCTCGCCGGTTCCCGACCATCGCAGCCCCGCGGAAGAGCCTGCCTCGCCTGAGGCCGCCGACTTGCCCCCGGCCAGCCCCCGCAGCGAGGAGGCGCCCTCCGTGCCTGAGCCGGCCTCCCCGCCGCCTGGGGAAAGCCCGCCAAGGGCGGCCCCGCTGCTTCTGCAGACCGAGGCCCTCCGCTGCTCCAAGGCTGAGCTGGGGGCGCTGCTCCTGCAGCACAGCAGACGGCGGCAGAACGGGTGCCCGGACTTGGAAGACGAGCCTCTGGCAGCCTCTCTGGGCCAGGAAGAGGATGGGGCTGCAAAGCCCTCCCAGAACATGGCCGTCCAGGTCAGGGAGTGGGTGCTTGGGTGGGCCTTCCCAGGAGGAAGGGGGGCTGGGAGGGGAGGCCCGGGATCCCTGGAGGGCTGGCCCTCAAAGGCAGCTAAGAGATGCCCATGGCCCAGGGTGGGTGCTTCCCTTGCCGCTGCGGCAGTCTGCGGAATCTGGGTGGTAGAGAAAGAGGCGTTGGGCCCCCTTCTCGGCTTCCGCGAGCGCCGTGATGGAGGACCAGCCGGGACCCAGGCCTTTGTGGTGCCCCTCAGCCAGAGGCTGCTAGGCAGAGCCGGTGGAGTCGGAGAAGGTCGCATTTCTGCCTCCGGCTGCTGGCAGACCAATCCTTTCCTTCCTCTGCAGACTGATTTCAGGACGGCTGACTTGGCAGCCAGCACTGACCTGGACATGGAGAAGAACTTGGTGAGTACGGGACGCTCCCCTTCCGCTGGGGCTGGGGCTGAAATAAGTGGCCGGTGCTCCCCATGTGGAGAAAGGGGCCGTGTGCGCTCCACCTGTTGGACTGTTCCCCCTGGCATCCTCCCTGGTCGGGATCTCCTAGCCCAGCCAGGGTGCTTCAGCCGTGCTGGCTTAAGGCTTTGCCTTTTGAAGGTGCCGCCCAGCGGATTCAAACCCCCCTCTTGCTGCCTGATAGGACAAGATGATGTCCGAGAGAGCTTCGTTGAAGGAGCGATACCAAGAGGTCCTGGACAAGCAGAGGCAGGTGGAGAACCAGCTGCAGGTGCAGCTCCAGCATCTGCAACAGCGCAGGGAGGAAGAGATGAAGAATCACCAGGTGGGCCTGCGGTGGCCAGCCAGGGAGTGCCAGGCTCAAACCGGGAAGGAGGGAGCGATGCTGCTTGGGGGAGAATTTGTGGGGCTTCCGAAACCCCACCTGACACCAGAAACGGAGAGCGGCCGAGAGGGTTGTCGGTTGAAGATTGTGGAGCCCCGGCAAAGCGCCTGGAACTCTGAAACCGCGTTGAGGGTGCCGAGAACGTGTCTCTGCTTGCTTTCTGCCCTAGGAGATCTTGAAGGCCATCCAGGACGTGACCGTTAAGCGGAAAGAAACCAGGAAGAAGATGGAGAAGGAAAAGAAGGAGTTTTTGCAGAAGGAGCAGGACCTGAAGGCAGAAATTGAGAAGCTCTGTGAGAAAGGCCGGAGGTATTTCAGGTGGTCAGCTGCTGCCCCCTCCGGAAAGCCGACACTGGAGGGGGCAGCAGGTGACGGAGCAGGGTGGGGGTGGGGCTGCACTTGGGCCCCCATTTCTCCCGCAGGCCTTGCGAGTCGGGAATTCAGGAGGGCCACAGCCCCGTTGTGGGAGCGGCCCAGGCTGGGGCTCCGTTGCGCATCTAGTCCAGACCCCGCCCTTGGGCGTCCTGCTGCCCAGTGCAGCCGCTCTCCCTGGGAGCCCAGGCCGTTCACTGGGCTGCCCTTCTCTCCCTCCCTGCCTCCCCTCAGGCTGCTGAAGGAGCAAGAGGAGAAGGAGAGCAAGATCGCCTCGCTGATGGCTGAGCAGGCAGAGGAGAAGTACGCGGGACGGGGGGGGGAAGGGACTCGTCCCGCTGTGGCCAGCTGGGAAAGCGGCAGGCGGGGCTTGGGCGGGGGGGGGCTCCTCCGGGGGCCCCGGCAGGCCCCCGGGCTCAGCGGGCCCCTTGCTTGCTCCGCAGGGAAGCCTGGGAGGTGGAGCTGGGCAAGCTGAAGAACCAGCAGGGCGACATCAGCCAGTCAATCCTGGAGGAGACGGAGAGGGCCTGGAAAGCAGAGGTGGGGGGCGCGGAGGGAGGACTCGGCCCCTCCCCGGGTGGTCTCGGCAGCAGCCGTGAGGCTGGTGGGGGGCAGAGGCCCTGGGGGAGGGGAGGGGGGGCACCGCGACTGCGCCCTCCCTGCCCCCGCCAGGCAGCCTAAGCGGCCTCCCCCCCCCCCCCCCCCCCCCCAGATCCTGTCTCTGGAGAGCCGGAAGGAGCTGCTGGTGCTGAAGCTGGAAGAGGCCGAGAAAGAAGCGGAGCTGCACCTCACCTACCTCAAGTGAGCTCAGAGGAGCAGGAGGCCCCCCCAGCCTGGGCGGCTCCTGGCAGAAGCCCCCCCCCCCCCGCCCAGTCCTGCTCTCCAGGGCGCTTCCGCTGGGAAGCCCCACGCTGCGACCGCCCCGCTTCCCCCGCTTCAGGCAGGCCTGGCATCACCCTTGCCCTCCGGTGACTGAGGGGGCGGCCCCTCGCGCAGAGCCCCGGGCTCAAAAGACGGGGGGTGGGGAGGGCTGAGCTGGGGGAAGACCTGGCGGTTTGCGAGCGCAGGGCAGAACTCCCCCCCCCCCGGGGTCTCTTGCACGTAGGTCAGCCCCCCCGACGCTGGAGACCCTCCGGCCAAAGCAGGAGTGGGAGGCCAGGCTGAACAAAATTCGGATGACCAAGGAGAGCGTCCGGGTACGTGCAAAGGGCTCCTGCCCCCCGGGACCATGGGAGGCACCCCAGGGCTCTCCCCGCGGAGGCTTTGTGGGCCTAGAAGCTGCAGCCTCCGGGGAGAGAGGTGGGTGGGGTCTCCCCTTCCGGGGGGCTGCTGGAGCGCTTCTCCCACCTTGCTCAACACACGTCCGTCTTCTAGGACAAGTTCAACGACCACATCCAGCTGGTACGGAATGGGGCCAAGTTGAGCAGTCTCCCACAGATCCCCACCCCCCCTCTGCCCCCGCCCCCGTTGGAGGTGAGCGGGGGGGGGGCGAAGGCTGGTATGGGGGCCCTGGCCGCTACCAGACGCCAGACTAACCGTCTTCCTCCTCCTCCTCCTCAGACAGACTTCCTGCTGCCTCCTTTCCAGGCCAGCTCCTCGCTCGCCCCCCAGGTGCCCTTCCCCATGGGGTCCATTTCCATGCCCCCGATGGTCATGCCCAGCGCTGACCCACGGGTGCTCTCCTTCCCCCTGCTGAACCCCAGCCTCATCGCCAGGCCCAGCCAGCCTTCGCCAACTTTGCCTGCAGCCCAGGAGCGAAGCAGCCCCTGCCTCACTTCCCTGGTCAGTTCCCCTGGGGCGCCCGGACCCTCGCTGCCTCCCCCCCCAGGCCTGGGGGGAGTCAAGGCCCCGCCCGACTTCCATAGACCGCCCCCTGTGGACAAGCTGGAGAAGATCCTGGAGAAGTTGATGTCGCGCTGTCCTCAATGTAACAAGTGAGCGTGGGAGGCAGCCCCCAGCCCCCCGCCCCCCTCTGCCCCAGCAGGCTCAGGCTGATGTCCCCGGCTGGCCTCAGGCAGAGAGGATCCTCCGGCCTTCACCGCCGGGCTGGTGGGCTGGTGCAAGGCCTGCTTGCTTGCGGCCACTGGCCCATGGGAGGAGGAGGAGGAGGAGGCCGCCGGTGGGGGACTGCCGGGCAAGAGCAGCCCCACCCCCTGAGCTGAGCCGCCGCCTCTTCTTCTTCGCAGGGCCCAGCTGACCAATGTCCTCCAGCAGATCAAAGCCGCTCGAAGGACCTTGGCGGGACTTACCATGGAGGAGTTGAGCCAGCTTGTAGCAGCCAAAGTGGCAGAGCAGCAGGAGCGGGTGGCAGCTGTTGGCCCCCAGGTGGGCTGGCCGGCAAGCCTTGGGCGCACTGGGCACTAGGAAGCTGAAGGCGAGCTCAGCCTAACGGGTCTGCTTTCCTCTGCCGCAGCCCCATGGCCGGATGTGCTCCCCCTTGTTTCCTGGTCCGTTGCCTCAGATCAGCAACCCTTTGTTCTTGCCACCTGCACAGGTCCCCTATTCTGGGACGCCCCCCCAGGTGAGTCCAGTGGGGCCTTCCGAGTTTGCTCAAGCCACCTGTTGGGGGAGACCCCTTGCCTGGACTTCACGCCCCTCCTTTGCCTCCTCTCTGCCAGGCACCTGTGGCCTGCAAACTCTGTCTGATGTGCCAGAAGCTCGTGCCGCCTGGCGACCTCCACCCCATGGCCTGTTCACACGTGCTGCACAAGGAGGTGAGGGGCCCGATGAGACCCCTGAGCGGGTTGAATTGGCCTGGCTGCCTAGCGGATCCCAGGCGCTCCGTGGCCCCCTGGGCAGAGACGGAGTCGGGAGGAGGAAGGGGGTTGGGTGTGGGGGGGGCAGGGCTTTCTCCCTGGGGCTGAAGGGCGGCGCTTGTTTCCTCACAGTGCATCAAGTTCTGGGCTCAGACGAACACGAACGACGCCTGCCCCTTCTGCCCCGCCCTGAAATGACCCCGACTGGAGAGAGCAGGCGGAGGCGCTTTGCGCCCGGCCTTCCGACGGCTCTGTATTTATATGGCCATGTATACACCTGTACATTTTTATTCTATAGGGAATGTGTGTATAGAAAGTTCACATCCATCCCCGTTCATAATAAAATGTGTATATTATGCAGCCGTTGGGCGGATCCTCCTTTTCCTCCCTCTGGGGGACCCCGTGGGTTTTGTTCTGGAGAGCGGTGGGAGCGCCAGAGCATTTTCCCTCTGGTGGCCCTGCAGCCCGAGAGGGGCTCTCGGGGGCACCCCAAGCGGCCCGGCCTTCTCTGCCGCCAAGAGCTGCTGCCGGTCTCACAGACGCTTCGGCGTTGGGTCAGGACTGACCCCTGCGGGGCTCTTCCCTGCCCGTGAAGGCCCATGGGGGGGGCTGTCAAGGCTGGCTTGGGGGGCCGTGGGTGCGCCGGGAGAGGAGGGAGGGGGTTTCGGGCCTAAGCTGGACTCCAGCAACGAAGGGGAAACTCCCCCACGGGGGGGCACCCTGGAAACGGCTCCCTGCAGTGGGCAATTCCAGCGAGTGGCAGCCTGGCCTGGAAGGCCATTTTACCCCAACTTGGCTCCACGCAAACAGCCCTCGCAGGAGTGAGAAACACGTCGCCCTGTCCCGCCTCTCCCTCCTCCAGGCCCGCATGAAGCCCACAAAACCCGTCCGAACAACTTGGCCAAAGCACAAAACACAAAACACAGTTAAGAGGTTTTCCAGCGTTTTCCTCCTCTTGCATTTGAGACAAAATGGGAAGATTGGGGAGCCAATATTACAAATATTTACAAAATATTGTACAAGCACATTGACCGCAGCTCATCCCCATCTCCCACGGACAGCAATGGGGGTCTCTGCCCTGTCAGCCTCCCAAGGCTTCCCCCACCAGGAGGCAAAAGTTCCCAGCCTTCAGCCGTTTGGTCCTCGGGCAGGACACAGCCAGGGGGCTGGAAAGGGGGGGGGGGGGCGGGGGAGGAATCCAGCAGAGGGAATTGTAATTCCTAACCCGCTTCTGTCCATTGCAAAGGAAACACCTTGGACTCCACCCTGCAGAATAACAGAAGTTGGAAGGGACCTTGGAGGTCAGCTAGCCTACCCCCCTGCTCAAGCAGAAATCCTATACCACTGTGGAAGCGCTGCCTGTGCTGCTGAGGGGTCTGGCACCGCCCTGTTCCAATCCTGCCTGACACTCCCTGGGTTGCTCAGCAGAGGCCCCAGAGCAGGGATAAGAGGCCCGGCTGCCCAGCGGCTTCCGTGTGGCAGAGAGGCAGCAGGCGACAGAGCCCGGGCGGGACGGCCTGTGGCCCCGTGGCAGGCCAGCTGCAGGCTGCTGAGGAAAGGCGTCTCTGTGACCGTCCGTTCCCTGAGTAGCCTCCGATGCCCGCAATTGCCCAAGGCCACTGGGTGCCCAAGCTGGCAACAGGGCTGCCTTGGGCTCAAACCCTCTGAATCTTCCCAAACTCCTGGGCTGGGAGGGCAGAACCTCTGGGCCAGACCGCAGAAAGGGTGAGGAAGAAGGGCCAGAAGGCGGCTGCCAATTCAGCCTTGCCTGGCATCCAAGGCAGGAGGCTGGCACCGGGGATCCCGCTGATGGGAGGTCACACTCAGGGCGCTTGATTCCGCCAGTGGGAGAGTCCCATCCCCCCACCTCCCAGAAGTGGGGCCACTGGCCAGCTCATGAGGCCTCCCTAGAGGAGGAAGGGCAGCGCCATACGCAGGGCAGCAGAAGGGCCGCCCTCCCCACCTCCTAGGCAGCTGTTGCAGCCCCAGATCCTTCTCCGTTCCTGGAATTCGGGTTCTACAGCCATCTATCCTTTCACCAACCCAGAGGGTCCTCCGCCACCTGGAGCTGATCCCTGCCTCAGCCAGCATGGGGGACGGGTGTCCTTGAAATGGGGGTCACCATAATTCCAAGCAGGCACCCGAAGACTCTGAAAACGGGGCACAGCAACCCACCTTCGGTTTCATAAGTACTGAGATTCAGAGAAACAAGCACGCCAAACACCCCGCCCCCCTCTTGATTAATTACAAAGAAGCACTGCTCCGAAGCCCCCGCCCCCTTTCGGTCTACTGCTTCCCTGGTGCGCAAGCTGCATCGGTCACTGGCCAATTCAGAGCAATGGGACAAAAGGGGTTTCCTGGACAGACGATGGGACTCCCTGCCAGTCCTGCCCGCTGCCTGCACAAGTTGCAGGGCTCCCGGGACACCAGTGGAAGCAACGGGTCTTGCGCCGCAAAAGGCCCTGCCAACCTCTCTGCCCGCCACGGGCCAGAGGCCGGTGGTTGTGGTGGGCCCCAGGCGGCAGCAGAGAACCTCAGCATCAGCAGCTGCCTGCGTGGAGAAGGCAAAGGCCACAGCAGCCCCAAGGGAGGGGATGATGGCTGCAGTGCCAACGCCCAGCCGTGTCACCAGCACGGGCTGGAGGTGGGGGGCAGCGCTCACTTTAGCAGGGAAATGTCATCCGCGAAGTCGTCATGGCCGCGGCGGAGGCAGCGGAGGCAGCGCCACTGCGAGACCATCAGGCAGAGAGGAAGCATGAAGAGGGCACAAATGGCTGCCATGATGTAGGCGATGGTCATCAGCATCGACTCGTCCGTCTGGGGGACGTTGTAGCCACAGTCCTCCATGTTGGAGTGCAGGAAAGGCCCATCCACGGAGGCCACCCGGAACGCGTCCTGCACTGAACACAGGGGCGGAGGCGAGGCGTGACAACGGGGACCTGGCAGAGGCCCCATCCCCACCCGGAGCCCATCCCTGGGGCAGGAATGGCAGAGGAGAGGCAGGCCAACAGGACCCGCTGATGTCTGGAGAAGGCCAGGCAGAAGCCAGCCGGGGCTCCAAAGCCCTGGGGCTCCCAGGGGCCCGGGGAGAAGGGGCGCTCCAGACGTGTTGGTGGGAGGGGCGACAACACACTTCAGAACTGCCCCCCCCCAGGACCCCGCTTCAGCTGAACTCAAGGCCCCTTTTCATGCTGGGGGGGGAGCAGAGCGTGGCCTTGCAGGTAACCCAAGGGGGCTGTGGGGCGATCCGGGTCACCAAGCTCTTCAGGGGGGAGGCAGCAGGTGCGACGGCTACCCCCTCCCTCCTCTGAGACCTACCATGGCAAGTGCTGACCGCAAAGCCAATGCGCCTCTGAGCCCGGTCAAAGACCACGTAGAAGCCCTCCATGATGACGGCCCCCATAACGGTGCCGGTGGAGGACTGGGAGACAGCAAACTTGTAGCACTCATCCTGGGAGGTAGCCACGTCCTCGACTGGCCGCAGGTATTGCTGAGAGAGAAGGCAACAAGGGCGTGAGGCCAGGCCACGTCCCAAGAAAGGGTCAACAGGGCAGCAGGCTTCGGCACTCCCCGGAGGATCAGGGACGGCTGCGGGCGTCCTCAGCCAAGGGGGTTGAAGGGCAGTTGAGCCATTTCTTTGACAGAACTGGAAGGACCTCGGGGCTCCTGTAGCTGAACGCCCGTGTCAACTCATAAAAGTTCTCTATACACGTTTTATAGTTGCTAACAGAAAGAAAGGGGGGGAGTTTCAAAGAGCAGGCAGCAGTGTGGAATCAAAAGTACATTCCATTCATATTTTTTTCAGAGACTGATTAGATGACTGAAGCTTCTGCCCACAAAAATCTAATTGGGGAGCATGATTGACGACTCTGGGCTATGGACGTGTTTCATTGGATGATACACCCAGAGGGGTTGGGGGGGGGAAGCAGGATCAAGGGTGACGGTGAATTGCGTATCTCAGAGTCGGCTACGCCCAGGCTAATGCCGGCAAGTTAACTTCTAATAAATCCTTTCCAGTTTTGGGAGTGTGGCTTGAGGCTCATGATTTAATTGGGGTAACTGCTGGAATCCTGACAGCCCGCCTGGCCAGAGGCAGAATTCCACTATTCTGCCATCCTGACGGGTGGGCATCAGGCCCATGGAAATCTCTTCCTAAAGGTGTTTCTTCCGGGTTTTTTTCTGACATCCAATCCAAACTTTTAACTGTCAAAGGACAGTTTCTTCTCCCGTCTTCTGAACAACTTTCCCTGCCTTCTGCACAACAGAGCTTGAGCTATGTGGAGACCCCCGAATTTCTCTTCCCCAGGCTAAGCGCATCCCAGGCCAGGAGCCTCTCCTGCCCCCTTGGCTGCTCTCCTCTGACCTCCCCAGGGCTACGGGTGCCAAGTGCAGTCTGGCCCGTGAACCGTAATGAGGGCAGCTCTTCTCGATTTTCATCCCTGCTGCATTTTCCTTTCTGGCTGGCCAGGAAAAATTAAGCAGCATCCCAAGTCAAGCTCAGAAATTAATCTATGGATCAAATATCCTGCTTGAAAAGATCTTATGCATTTACTAAAAAAACAAAGTGCTCCTGTAGGACTGGTATAGTTTTAGCCAGAGGAGCTCCATTTTGTGGGGGGGAAGCTTTTGGCCCCTTGCTCGCTGCAGTGCTTAGAGGTTTTCCCTTTGGGCCTCTCGTACTACAAGGCCCCGTGGCGGCCTTATCACACAACAAGGACTGTCCGCAACCAGGACAGCAGGGAAAACAAGGCTGACCAGTTGGAAACAAACGTCTTGGTTAGAGCGTACTAGCTCCCCTTGTCTCCTTGCAGATGAATTAGCTAGAAAGTTTTACACGCTTAATTATTCACCTTGTCAGTGAGGGACAGAAAGGGAACAGCAAATCCAGCATTTGGGTGGGCCAATCAATGGTTTGGCCAATACGGTCTTCCCAATATCTCAACGGACCTTCCGTCCAGCTTCCCTCTGCTGATATTGCCCTCCAAAGAGACTCTTACTTTTGAGGAGCTGGCACCCACCTGGGGCAGGATGCTGATCCGGAAGGAGTGGTTGGTGGTCTCACCCATCAGGTAGAGAGAGATGACCGGGAAGATGTTCCAGGGGGTTGTTCCCACCTGCCAGCAAACCAGCTGCTCCCCCAGCCAGAAGCCATCCGGGAACTTCTCGGTCTGGGGTGAGGGAGCCAGGACGGAAACAGCTCAGCCAAAGGCAGCAGAGGCCGTGAAGGCGCCAGACACCCCACCCCCCTCGGAAGACGAAGCTATTTCAGGTTCCCCGCCAAGGGGCTCGTCCCGTCCCTTTCCATCACTGTTCAGGCAGGGACCAAGCGCAGCCCCCTCCCAGACAAAACCACTGTTGGGGTACCCTGCCTCCTGGGGGATGCGGTCTCTGCCCCTCACCCCACCCACCCCGGCTTCTCTCACCGAGGAAGCTGTCTTGATGGACTTCACGGCCTCCTCAAAGACCTTCTTGGGCAGGCGAAGGTTGGTGGTGCCACTGTCCACAATGCTCTTGTCGTAATTGTACTGGGGAGGTGGGGGGGGGGGTACAATTCAGGTGCTGGTTCCATGTTTGTGTGAGGCCCAGCCGGGGATGAGCAGGGCAGGGAAGCCGCTCGGGAGGCAGCAGGCCGCTCTGAGGGAGGCAAGGTGCTGCTGCTCCCTCCCACAGTCCAGAGGCACTTAACCAAGTCAGCATGCAGCACCTGTGCCAAGTCCCCAGGTGGCAGTCCTCCCTCCCCCCCCCCCCCCCGATCAGCAGCCCCTTCACCTCCTTGCAGTCCATCTGGAGGTCCTGCCCGTTGATCTCAATCTTGACTATGACAACCTCGTAGTACCATTCCTTCCGGATGGGCGTGTACCAGATGTTGCCCCTGTAGAGAGTCTGGTCGATGCCCCCAATGATCTGTGAGGGAAGGGGAACTGTTAGGGGTGGGAGGCAGAGGGCCCACCCAGAACATGGTTGGAGACTGGCTTACGTGGGGAGCCGCTGCCTCTTGCAAGCTCCCTTCTTTGGGTACAGGCACAAGCTGGCCCACTTGGGGGAAGAAACAAGGCCTATGCCGTAGCCTCCTCTAAACGGAAACGCTTTGCTCTCTAGTCTCTCAGAAGACAGTTTGTTGAGATCGTCTAAAGGCCATGATGCCATAATAGGAGCCACATGCCCTCACCATGCTGCCCCCCACGGAAGCCAGGGTCTCCGAATCATTGGTCGGGAAGCTTGTGCCACACAGCTGCAGGGAGAAGATGTTGGCCACCTGCGTCTGCTTCACCAGAGAGTCGAAGAAGGGCTCCAGGCTGTTGTCCGGCTGGCGGGAGAGAGAGAGAGAGAAAGAGGCATGCCAACAGTGCGGTTGGGCATCCTCGCTCACCTGGAAAGAGGCGTCAGGTGAAGGCCGTGACTTCTCCGATTGCCCCTTCCCCCAGCAACATATTGGGACTGCATCTCCCAGAATTCCTAGCTGGCTACAGATGATGGGAAGCCTTCCTGTAAAACACCTGGAGGACAGAGGGGCACAGGGAGGGCTGGAGGGCTTTAACCGTCTTCCTGACCTAGATGGGGTCTTGGCTCCTCTGGGCAGCAGTGCTGCAGCCGCTTCAAGGCCTTCCCTGAGCTGGCTCCACACACTTAAGTCCAAAGGCCCAAACCAACCAGCCAGCATCCTGCTCAGGGAAAGACTTGCATGACGTGAAGCTTGAGAGAAAGGAGCTCACCCGGGCAATTTCGGCATATGCCAAGCCCAGGATGCCTTCCCAGTTGGAGCCGTTGATAAAGAACTTGTCCGACTTGATGATGGCGGCAATGTTGGCACGGACGGTGACATTTGGGCCATGAGGGATGGCCACCAAGTCAGTGCCCAGCTCTCCCTCCCACTTCCCTTGCGTGTAGGGCACATAGACTCCCTTCTGCAGGTCCCGGTAGGTGCTGGAGCTACAAGAGACATGAGCAGAAAGTCGGTGCCACGGTGCTCCGGACAGGACAAGAGGCAAGAGGAGGAGGCCAGGCTCAGCCTTCCGGTAGGTTCCGGGAGCCAGCCTGTAGCCGGCCAGAGGCCGAAAGCCCAGCATGCAGACGCAGCGGGGGAGGGAGCCAGGCAGGAACACCACTGCCTCTCTTGCCCCCCCCCCTGCCCCCCCACCGGTGTCTTTCTGAAAGCAAGCTGGGGGAGCTGTGGAGCCAGCCCCCCCCCTCCCGAACAGCTGACCTCACCACCCTTGCCTACTCACAGCTGGCGCTGATAGTATCGCTGCAGGAACTGATGAGGGGCTGCACCCACAGCAAAGTTGCTGCTTCCAGTGTCCACCAGGATATTCAGCTGGAAGAGAGAAGAGCCCATGGGAGGAGGAGGCTGAAACTGCTTCACGCACAACCTTGGAAAAGGCCTCTGCACCCCACCCACATTTGACCAGGGAGCCTTGGTTTCCAGATGTGCTGGCTACATCTAGAGTTCCGACGACGCGCCCAGGAGACGGGCTCTAGAAGCAGCAAGCAGGGTCTCCAGCCTCAGAAGAGAAGAGTCAGGGCTTCCTCGGTTACCCTTTCCTGCAGCAAGGGCTGTGGGGAAGGCCAAGGGCCCCCGGGGCTGCCCTTGGGGACCCCAGCTTGGGAGGAAGGAGCATGGAGGTCGACAACAGGGCCTCGGGGGAGGAAGGGGTGACGGCCTCAACGGGACGGGCCTTTCCAGAAGGAGGCCAAGCAGCTCCGGGAGCCTCTGCCCGATTCAAGGTCACAGGCAGGCCGCCTTTTGAGCCCTGCCGCCCTGGGCAGCTGCTCGACTGGCCCACCATTTGCACACCGGCAGTTCTGGAAAGGAGCCGCGCATCCGCACGCTGAGCAGGCGCAGCAGGAGACGCCAGGAGCGGCCTCCTTCCTACGGGCCCGGCCCGTGGCGCTCCTCTCCCCGCCAAGGCCTGCCGGGCCAGGCTCCCGCCGGGCTCGGAGCACCCAAAGGGCCGGGAGGCCGCTGCGCACAAGAGCGCAGCTCGCTCGGGAGCCGGCATCGCTCTTTCCGCCTCAGCGACCCTGGCTCGCCCCGCCGCTTTGCAGGGGCCGGGATGAGGTGCGGCCAGCAGGGCCCCTCGGAGCCTGCAGCAGCCGCGCCCCGGCCAGGCCGGCAGAGGCGCCCGCCGCCCCTCACCTTCTGCGGGGGGCTGCCCACCGTCATCTCCACGTAGTAGCCCTGCCCCGACTTGCCGCGCAGGTTGTCCACCATGGCCACGAAGCTGCTGCTGCTGCTGCTGCTGCTGCTGGGGCCGGCGCGGCGGCGGCCTTGCTCCCGCTCCTCCTCGGCCGAGCGCCGCGCCCGTCCTTCCGCCGCCGGCGCCCCGGGCAGCGCGCTGTGCAGCGGCAAGCGGAGCCCGGCCGGGGTGCCTCCCAGGCCGCGCGGCCCGCCCGAGCCCAGCCACAGCCAGAGCGCCAGCAGCGCTGGAGACATGCCGGGCGCCTGTGCGGACGGCGGCGGCTCTACAGCGGCATCTCTGCCGAGGGCGCGGCGGAACGGCGGAGGCTCCGGGCCCGCGGGCGGCGGCGGCGGCGGCGGCGGCGGCGGCGGCGGCCAAGTTTCCCTCTGCCGGAGCTCGCCGGGAACTGTCGACCTGGCCCGGGCGGCGGCGCCTTTGCGCAGGCGGCGGCGGCGGGAGGAGGAGGAGGAGCTGCGGTGCGGGCAGGCGGTGGGCGCGTCTCCTCCGCTCGGCGCTGGGCGGGGCGGCGGCGGAGGCCCAACCCGGTTTCCCCGCCAGCGCCCGGCCGCGGCGCCTGCCTTGTGCTGCCCGCTCGCCCGCCCACCCTCTGCCGGAGGCACCGGCGGCTTTTGCTCTCGGGGCCCTCCGTGGGACCGGCCCGCCGGGGGATAAGCGCCGCGCCGGTGAGGAAGGCTCCGCGGCGGGCGGGCGGGCGAGGCCGCCTCCTTTGCCTTGTCCTCCCGGGAAGAGAGCCGCCTTCGGACGGCTCGGCTGCTTTCGTCGTTTGCCGCATCCCGAAAAGTGGACTAAAGCCCAGCTGAGCGTCGGCGGAGCGACTCCCGGGCCGAGAGCGGCTCCGGACGGGGCTTTGGGCTCCAGTTCAGTTTAATAAAGCCCATCGGAGGCAGCAGAGCAGCCGGGCCGCCAGAGGTGCGAAGGTAGGCGATTCCCCTTGAAGCGGGGACTGGCTCGGGGGAGACGTGCGAACTGAGGTGTACAGTCCCTGGGTTCACGCGTGGGCGGAGGAGGGTCGCCTCCTTCGCCCGGTACCCGAGACCTCCTAAGGTGCAGCAGCTGGTGCCATCCGGCAGAGGGCGGGCATCCTCGAGCTCCGCTGCGGCCTGTCCTGGCGCAGATTGAGGGGCAGCCGGCCAAACTTGCAACCTCCCCTGCTGCCCCATTTCTTAGAGGAGGAAGGAAAAGCGAGGGGGCCAACCTGGCCTTGGGTCTCCCGAAGACGCTTTTGCAGGAGGCCCTGCTAGCCTGAGAGGGGGAAGCCCTCCCGCCAAAGGCCACTGGTCCCGCGGGGGTCAGAGTCCCTGGTACTGACCCCCAAGTGGAAGCACGAAGCCTACAGTAGGTGCTCCTCCTGCAGCCAGAAGCCCCCCCCCCCCCCCCCCCCGCCCCCCGCCCGCCCCCCCCCCCCCCCCCCCCCACCCCCCCCCCCCCCCCCCCCCCCCCCCCGCACTGGGAGGGAGCTCCCTCCACTTGCATTGAGCCAACCAAGCTGTTAAACAGCACCAGCACCAGCCCTGTTTTAAAAAGGCCTTTTGAACCCATTTGCCCCAGAAACAGCCATGTTGCTTTGATCCGAAGAGCTTCTGCACATCACTGCACTAAGAAAGTGCTGGCCGGCCGGCCACAAGCCCAATCTAAGGTGCTCAGCGTCTGCCCTGGCTGTGCTCAGCAGAATCCTTCATTTTCCACTGCAAGCCGTTTTTGAACTGGATCTCTTGGGCCGCTTGGGACCTGCTGGAGGGTTTCCTTTTGAGGGCCTGAGACCCCAACCTTAAAGGCACTTCATTTAACAGGAACGTATTATTTTCAGTCTGCTTTCATCTTGCCTGCATAGAAACTCAGAACAGGAATCTGCCAACACTGCCTGCTTGATAAGGACCTCTGAAAGCAGATTCAGCCATAGCTAGATGCACAGGATGCAGTTAGAACAGTACTTAGCTCTTTTCAGCTTGGGATGAGGAGCAAGCAGGGGTCTAGCTGGTATAGATCATGCCAAGGGCATCTGAACAGCACGAATTGTACATGTGTTATTCCACACTGAACATCTTTACTTCTACATGTGCTGTAAGAAATTTGCAACCAATCATTGACTTGCCATTTTGAATTTCTTGTATCTTAAGGTATAAAAATGGAATGCCAGTCTTTCTCAGGACTCTTCCCAGCCCCCTTTGCTTCTGATCAGAAATAAAGCGATAAATTTCCACTTTCCTCGACCCTGTGTTGTTTATTGGCTTTGTGCCGGATAAGCAGATTACAAATTGGTTCTTGGCCATCACTCTTATTGCACGGATGTCTCGACTTTTTCCTCCCATAAGACGGCTCAGACTGCCCCCCTCCTTCTCTGGGCGACAACAAACACTTCCTAAGCGAGAGGCTCAAAGGAAGCCAGGAAGGGCACCGGAGGTTGACGTGTTAAGGGCAGCTGGTTAAAGCCAACTTGTCCAGCTGCCCTGGGGCCAGTCCAAGGATCCTGCTGGTCAAGCTCTGAGGTGGGTGTGGCAGGCGAGGAGGCCTCCTGCCTCCCCCCTCTGCTCCTAAACCAAAGCAGCAAGTTCCACAGAAGCCGGAATGCAGAGCTCACTCTCTCTCTTCCTTTGCCCCTCTTAGGAATGAAAAAAATGGGACGCCCTGATCCAAAGGGTTTCAAAAGTAAATCTACAAGGAATCCGATCAAGATTAGACAAACGTGGCAAAGGAACCAAATGGGCAAATACAGAGTTATCTGCAACACGCGGACGAGCATGAGTCAAGTCACAGGGTGCAGCCAGCAGGAGGCCAGGAGAGAAATGCAGCACAGCCGGTCTTCACAGCAAAGTTGTACCCATGACTTCAGCCTCGCCTCTTCGGCTCCCCCGAACCAAACGGACAGGGACGGTCATGGAAACTGCCCTCCAGTACCAGGGTTCCCAGGACACCCCGGGGGAAGGGTCAGCAGGAGCGATGTGCCTGCTGAGCCCACCTCCCTGACCCCACCCCCGCAGGGAGCTCTGAGGCCCTGGCACTCCCGCCTGAAGACCAAGGCCAGCCGGGGGCCTTGCCTGCCAGGGAGGGGGGCACTCTCCATACGTGGGGAAAGCTGCAGGCCTCCCTTTCCAGGCACAAGCCTGTGGCCCTGAGGGACCGGCTGACCCAAGCAGTCAGAAGAGGAATCCAGGGGAGGGTTGGGGGCCCAGACAGGGTTCAACCTGCAACAAGGAAAGGGCAGCCACCCCCTCCTCAAATTGCCTTTGACCACCTCCACCCCCATTTCCAACGAGAAGCGTGGGGTTTCAGCAAAGCCTCTTCCAAAGTTGTCCAGAAACCTGACTTTTAGGTAACAAAACAGTGATTTCCTTGTTGCCCCACCCCCAGTCTGTTTCCAGGGACCTGCCGGGAGGGGCCAGCCCAGCCCAGCCCAGCCTCAGCAAGTGTCCTCCCCCGATTCATGCGCACTGCCAGTCTGGGTCAGGAGCGGCATCCAGATGGACGTCAGGACGGAGCAGTCCAGCCTCTCTGTCTTGGGGAGCCGCCAGGGCCGTGTCCAGCAGGCAGCACCTCCTTTCTCCCCTCCCCTTCTGGGCCTGGCAACAGACAGGGAACTCAGCAAGGGGCCTCCATCCTGGGCCTCCACCAAGTCTGCCAAGGAAGGGATCCAGCAAGCAGCAGCAGGCGACTTCTGCCTGGAAGCTCTCTGGCTCACTCCTGGCAGCAACCAAGGAAGGATCTTCAGGAGCCTGGCCTGCCTGCCCCATGAACCCTCAGAGGTGCCAGGGAAGCCCCCACTACTGGCCCTTGCTGTTCAACAGAGCCTGGCAGGCAGAGGGGTGATGGTTGGATAAGCCCCCATAAAATCCTTCTCCATCACACACACACACACACACACACACACACACACACACGGATTTCAGATTCAGGCTGGAGGCAGGCCATGGGGGCTGCCCCCTCCCCACCCAGGCTAAAAGAGGGACGCTCAGCAGATACTCGGAGGGGCACATTGCACTCCTCATGCCACCAAGCGTCCATTTCCTATGGCTATTGGCAAGACTTCCCGCCCGCCCGCCAGCCTTCGCTCCCTTTGCACAGGAGGACAGGGGGGTTGGGGCCACGGTGCATAGACAGCAGACAACCATTGGTGACGGTCAGGGGGGCTTTGGGAGACGGCCGACACAGCAGCTCCTCAGGGCTTCTCCACCGACGGGGGGGTGTTCCCGTTGGATTTGCTCTTTGCCCGGCCCTTGAAGGAGAAGCGCTTGATGAGGCGCCGAGAGAAGCTTCCGGATTTCTTCCTGGGGGCAGAGGCGCTGCTGGAATTGGGCAAGTCATCATGCGACTGGCTGAGGCCAGCCTCCCTCTGCTTGTTCTTCCTCCGGAAGATCAGCTTGGTGCCACTTCGCAGGAAGCCCACTGCAGCCGCAGGAGGAGGAGGAAGAGGAGGAGACCATGAACCTGTGCAGGAGCGCCAAGACCCCGGGGTGCTGGCTGGAGAATGACTCAGAGACCGCCTCCCAAATCCTGGCTACTCGTGCGGAAGAGGGCCAGGAGGCCCCTGCTCAGAAGACAGCTGCCCCGCCCCCGCCCCGCCCCCTCACCTTTGTGATCCTTCAGGCTCCGCGTCTCCAGGGCGCCTGTTGAGCCGGTTTCGGATTCCACATCCTCCACAGAGGGTCTCTCGGAGATGTCTGAGTGGGTCGTTTCATCCAGATCCTGGCTCACCATCTGAGGGGAGCACGAACTTCCCAGCTGCTGGGTGGGGTCGCAGATGCTGGGTGGCACATATTCTGACAGGCCAGCCAGGAGGGAGTCTTCCTGCAGGGGACTCCCCAGGGACACGGCATAGCCAAGGGAGAGGGCCGTTTCGTCCTGGGTGATGGGCACCTGCACAGAGTGGGACAGAGGGAAGCTGGAAGTCGGGGGGGGGGGTCCCCTCATGTCTGGTTCCGACTCCCCCCGCCCAGTTCCTTCTCAGCAACAGGGCTTCCCAGGGGCTCTGGAGTTGGGCAGTACGGAAGCCCAATCCAGTGAACAAGTGGCAATAAAGAAAGGCGTGTGCATTGCCAGTTACCTTGGAAACTCCCGAGATGATCAGCGTGCTGCGCTTGGTCGGAGTCTTCTTGGCAGGCTTATTGGTCAGGTCCGTCAGCTGCCTGATGGCCGTCTCGGCCACCGGATCCAGGCCGTTGGACACACAGCTGCTTCCTGGGGGAGAAGAGACACACTGCTCCCACATGCCAATGGCACAGAGTGGCTCTGGCCAGGCCCTGGCTTTGTACAAGTGCCAGTGGCTGAGAGGCACCGCTTCTCATTCGAGCTTGTTCATTCATTCTTTCAATCAATCAATCAATCAGAGCAGAGCTGGAAGAGGCCTTGGGGGTCTTCTAGTCCAACCTCTTGTTCGGGGAGATATTGAATGTGACAGTGCCCGATTCTTCCTCCAGGCCAGCCAGAAAGGCAGCCGAGACCGAGAACATGCTGGCTGGCGCAGGTTAACTCAGCAAAGTGCACACAGGTTTAAACAGCCTGCTGAGCCGTTCTTCCCATCCAATACTCGGAGCATTTCACCAAGGTCACCTGGTGCCTCCCAGTTATGTCGAACCCTTTCCCGTGCTCCACAGCTCTTTGGCCCAACTGGGCAATCCCAAATAACTGGAAGGGACCCGACTGCTCTCCTCTTTGGAACTGGCTCCCCTCTCCCTGCCTGGCCTCAGCCCAGGTCGGAGAGGAGGAGGAGACTGAAAAATCACAGGCGCACCTGCTTCTTCTAAAAGGCCCGCCTTGTGCCGAAGGGGCAGCATCCCACCAGCACCGTCCACCTCACCATCTCCCCCATTGTTGTTTCCTGACAACGTGACTCACTGCTACTGCAGGGAGATGCTCTGCTGGGGCAGCCATTTTCTGGAAGCATCGTGGTGACCTTCTCTGTAACTTCCACTTTGGAGGGAGATCTGGAGGGTGAATCTAGAGTGCAGGAGAAAGAAGGGTCAGCAGAGACCTCCCTTCAGCAGCACCCACGGAAGGAAACGCAACACCCCCGTTTGGCCCTAGGACGAGGCCCAGCCCCATCCTTCACAGAGAGGAGGGGGCAGCTGCTGCTTCAAGGACAGCCTGGGCCCTGGGGCAGGGCTCCTCATCCCTCGGGCTGAACTAGTGGCGTCAGAGCCCTGGGAACAGGAGGCCACTTGGGGTGCGCTCCAGCCACATAAGGAGAGCTTACCAAGCTTAGAGTCCAGTTTGGGCCTGGACTGGATGGTGGTGACAGTGGTGACAATAGTCCCGTCGGGCATTATGGTCCGGCCCATCTCGATCTTCTTGGTGGGAGTGATGCTGGCGCGCAGGGAGGAGGCAGCCTGGAGCTCCGGCGTGTCCTGGTGGAGCAGCTGCCAAGACAGCCAAATACGAGTCAGAAAAGCACAGGCGATACCTGAGAAGCCCACCTTCTGTCTGACACACACAAAGACCCACCAAGCCTCAGCCACCCCAGATTGTCTGCTCTGGAGCTCATCGGCCGAATCCCACCGCCCACTGCCAGCAGTCAGCAGGCCTGAAGAAGGAGACCTTTGAGATAGGATGGGGAACATCATTCTCCCCTGTGCCCAGAAAGGGGGCTTCTATGGGGCTTGTTGCTTGAAAAAGGTGGCTGTGCAGACGCATCCAAACATTTCCCCACCTCTCTTGCTTGGACTCCTCCCATCCCTGCGCTCGGGGCTTAAAGCTGAGAAGCCAGGGGTTGAGTGGAGCAGACGCAAAACGCCAAGCGAGGCAGGCAACCATGAAGCAGAGTTTTTAGCCTCTGGCCATTCTGGCCTCTCACCTCCACGGCAATGGCTGCTGCTGAGGGCAGAGCCCGGGCGGCCCCTGGACTCAGCAGGTAGAGCTGCTGCCCCTGCGGTTCTTTGGAGGAGGGGTCTATAGGGACAGCCACAAACCCCAGAAGCACATCTGCAAGGAGAAACCCAGCCTGTGAGGCCCACAGAACCGCAGCGGCCCTTCCTCTCTCAAATGCCGGCTGGAGCTTCCCTTCCAGCCCCGTTTCTGCTCTTCCAGCCAAGCCCAGCCCCGGCTCCGAGCCCCCCCTCCTCCCGCTGCCCACAGGCAACCTACCCTCTCCGGAAGGGCTGCCTTCCAACACTCTCAGCACCAGCTCCTTGCTCCGGGGACCCAGCTCCCTGTCAGGGCAGGACGGAAGGAAGCAGTCAGCCAATTCCCTTCCTGGACCAGGGCCACGCTCTCACTGCCCAGCGGCTCGAGGGCAGAGCTCTCCAAAGGGACGGGACAGGCCCAGAGTGCAGGCTGCCTGCAGGGGCGTGAGTGGGGGGGGAGGGCCTTCCCCACAGGGCAGGACTGGTTTTGCTCTTCAAGGACTCTGGCCCTGACACTCCCGCTTTCCCCAGCCCCTCCTTTCCCCACGTGGCCCAAACACAGAGGCTCAGGGCTCCTTACAGAAGCAGCTTGCCGGGCCACTCCGCCCCAGTGCCCGGGCTGGCCGGCACGGGGTCCGTTCTCTTCTGCTGCCGAGGGCTGTCCAGCTCCACCTCGCAGCACAGCAGCCCCTTTCCTGCAAGGGAAGCCAACAGCGGGGCAGTCAAAGCTCGCCTCCCCCATTTCTCCACAGCCCCCCTGCATGCCAGGAGGAGAGGCCAGCAGCGCCCGGGTACCTTGGCTCTCCTGGGGCCCCAGGTGCAGAGCTCGCAGGTGCTGGAGCAGCAGTTTGGGCCTCGGGATAGGCGCTGAGCTGGAGAGGGATCCCAGGGGCCGCTGGCTGCTGCTGGTCTCCTGTGGGGCAGAGCCAGGGGGCACTAAGTAGCTGGCTGGGGGGAACCTCCCCCCCCCCACAAAGCCTCTGAGGTGGCCTGTGGGAAGTGCCAGAACTGCTGCCACCTTCGGCGACTCAGCTGGCCAGTCTAGGTGAAGCCTTTGCCCAGAAGAGCAAAGCGGAATTCTAACCAAGAAACAGGATGGGGGCTGCCCTCCCTTTCCGGAGGCTGCCCCGGGTTCAAAGGAAGCAGGCGGTGGAAGTGCTGACCCAAGCCCG